GTGTGTGTGTGTGTGTGTGTGTGTGTGTGTGTGTGTGTGTGTGTGTGTGTGTGTGTCTACAGGAGAACGCAGTCGGAGTCCTTCTCTCTCCTCCTCGTTTGCTGTGACCCTTGACCTCTGACCTGACAACAACAACAACAGTTAACAAACTTTACATCAACAAAGTTTTGAACATGAAGAGTACAAAATGACTGGTTAAAACTAAATGGAGTCAAACTGTCTGTGATCACTTCCTGTTTGCACTGATGTTTTTAAGTTTCTTCAGCATCACAGGGATCCACTAAGATTCTACAGTTCTATGAGCTGTACTGCAGCCAGCCACCAGGAGGCCATCCACAGGATTTGACTTGCTTTAACTGCGGTGTCTGTGACAGCAAGTGTTTGGTTTAAAAAGCCGTAGGGGTGAAGATCCACTGTTTTCTGTATTTCTTTATCATCACAAGCACTTTGTTAGATAGGTCCTATATAAATAAAGTCATTTTGTTATTATTTAACTTTTTACAGTGTGATCACCCTGTACAAAGGCTCCAGGTGTGTATGTGGTGTTACCTGTTGTGTCTGCACTGCCCCCTGCTGTTGTGGCTGCTGTTGGAGTTGCTGCTGTTGCTGATATTCTTCCTGTTGAAGCTGTCGGGCCAACTCCAGGTCACTGAGGGGCCCCAGGGCCCCGCCCTGCTGCTGCAGGGACACTGCCACCAGGTAGTCCTAACGCCAACAAGGACACGAGTCAGAGACAAGGACGAATCATCTTAGCTCGGTCTAAACCTCTCTCACCTGGTCGATCTGTCTCTGTTGTTCCTGTGCAGCGGGGGCGGCGGTGGGCGGAGCTCTTTGATGACACAGTCTGAAGTCGGAGTCACAGAAGTTCCCGTCGCCTTCGACGTTATGAAGAGACTCCCACACCAGCGGCTCCTCCTGCAGGAAGCCCTGATCCGTCACCAGCAGGTACAGGTGACCCTGAGGAAACACACAACTTTATTATCTACAGGCTACAGCGGCAAACACAATGTTTCTGTGTGTGTCTCCACCTTGTGTTTGATCATGGTACTGAAGTGGTTGTTTCTGAAGAACACGGAGATCTCTCCCTCTTTGGCCGTTGTGTTGAGTTCACACAGGCCGTGATACGACAACTGAGTCGCTGTCGACTCCAAAAACTGCTCTGCTACCAGACCTGCACACACACACACACACACACACACACACACAC